ATGCAGATGAAAACAACACTGAGATTCCACCTCACCCCACAAAGAATGGCTGCTATCAAGAAATCAACCAATAACAATTGTTTGCAGGGTTGTGGGGAGAAAGTAACACTTTTCCATTGTTGGTGGGAGTGCAGACTGGTGCAACTACTGTGGAAATCAATATGGAGATACCTCAAAGAACTAGAATTAGAGGTTTCATTTGACCCAGCTATCCATCTACTGGGTATCTTTCCAAAAGAATTAAAAGATTCATACCATAGTGAGATATACACACCCATGTTAATAGTGGCACAGTTTGTAATAGCTAAAACTTGGAAACAGCCCAATTTCCCATCAGTTGGATAAAGAAGATGTGGTTCTTCTATAAGATGGAGTACTACTCAGCCACAAAGAATGAGAAACCAGAGTCATTCACAGTAAAACAGATGCATATTGAGGCCATTCTTATTTAAGTGAAATAAATAAAATACACATTTATAAATACTGAATAGTTTCTCTGGTGTGAAAAACTAAAAGTGTAAATAAGATCCAAATTGTATAACTGATAATGTGAAATAGGAAGAAAAGGGCTAAAGGTGTAGGGGAGTGGGAAGGGTAGGGGAAAGGAAAGAAGGGAAAAGAAAAAATGTGAGAAAAGGAAAAAATGGAAACAGAATCTTTGTAAATAGGGAAGGAAGGAGGGGTTGAAGGGAGGGAAGGGGCATGGGGAGAAAATGAGAACAAAGATCTGTCATGTAAAGGTACAAGATCCCAATGAAGCATGTAACTGTATGTCTACTTAAAAAGTGCCACTAAACTCAATGAAAAATAAATAAATATGATCTTGCATTATGAAGACGTATATTTGCTAAATGGGAAATAGAGACAATAATTAAGATATACTTAATTATCCTTTCATTTTCTATTTACCAACCCATTATATTTGTGATTGTGTATATTCCATAATTAGCTTCGCTAGTGTGCACTTGGAATTAAAACCAATAATACTTTAGTTAATTGGACAAACATGAATGTGTAATTCTGTTTAGTCATCTTGAACTTCACAAATGACAGTGAGATGCTTGAAAATTTTTAATGACCATCACATATCAGGCAGTTATTTTTCACAGATTGATTTTTAACAAAAGGTTAAAGCAGCGAAGAACGAAAGTGACCTATTTCAGCAGTTCTCCATTTTTAGTTTATTGATCATTTGGTTAGTGCAACATAACTCTAAAATTTTAATTTTTTAAACTCATTTTCACTTAGGATTTTATTAAAATGATTTTTTTAAAAAATTAGGACAGACCAGCCTGAGCCCCAGAATCTGCATAGCTCGAGAGGTGCTGAGGTAGTGGGTTCACAGCTCACATTTGAATAGCAGCATCACGCAGCCTCTGACCTCTTTATTTTCCCTAGATTATCAATAGTATTAATGGGCAGATGTGAGCTGTTTTCAACTAAAAACAAACAAGGCAATACCTGACTTTATTATTAGCTTTTGCAAAGTATGAATTTTGTTACTATTTTAGGTTTGAAAAAAATTCAGGAGAATAGGTTGTAGATCGTCTGAGAGAATGCTGCAGGACATTGTTTCCTAATCTTCACTTTAAGAAACACATTTATCTACATAGTAAATCCAGTTGGAAAGCACCAATTACTTGGGTTCCCATCCTCCGAGATTCTGATTATTTGCAGATGATTATTTGTAGCCAATGCTGAGAAGCACCCCTGGAGGTTACAAGATCAGCCGTGTATGGGGGCATTGAGCATACAGACCCCATCGAATGCAGAGTTCTTCTTACAGAGTAAATATATAACATAAGGAAAATAATAAAGCAGGGGAAAATAGAGTGAATTCAAGAAAATGGAATAAAAGGTGGGGGGGACTGTGCAATAAAAAGGCTAAGTGACAGTTGAAGTGTTGACTCTGGTCCAAGATGAGAAAAGCGGGTGAGCAGAGGCTTCCCAGGTACGGGAGGTGTGGAGGAGACTGATGTTACCTCAGCGCTCTTACTGATGCAGGAGACGCACAAAGGCTAGTGTAGCCCGGAACATTAATGGAGTACCGGAGACGGAATACATGTTTGTGACGACAATTAAATTCCAAACTCATGTTTTTCGTTTGGAACTGGTTAGACGAAGCAGGAAAAATACACTTAAACATTTTAAACCTGAGATAACAGTGAAACTTTAAAGGGGCTTGCTGTGTCCCAAATCTCTGAAAGCGGCTTTCTGTGTGCCCCAGGTAGGAGACACCCTCACATGACACAGTGGGCAGGGTTTGTGATTAAGTCTATGTTTATAATACTTTAACATTTTTTTATTTTTTCAAATTTATTTTTATTAGTGCACATTTGCAGTAAATACTAATTCCATTCTTCTTGGGGAATGGGCACGTGTGCATAACATTTAAATTCTGTTTACATTCCTTTCTTCTACCTTTCTCTCCATTCCCTCCATCTCTTGGTCCCCTTCCCATTTGATAAAAATCTATCTTCCAGTTCCCTATGATCTTTTATTTTGCTCTTTAATTGAGTTGTATTTTGGGTTTCTCATAAAAAAGCAACCATGGGCATTTTAAATTTGTGTGTCTGATTTATGTCATTTAACACTGTAATCTCAAGGTGCATTCATTTCCCTCCAAACGACTCAAATTTATCACTAATCGATGAATGGATACATTAAAAAGTAGTTTTATCCACAGTGGAGTGCAACTGTTATACAGAAAGATACATTTGAGTCATTTGTAGGAAAACAGATGCAGCTCCAGATTATGTTTTTTGACATGTGTTGATTCTCGTATCAAAGCAATGAGTGAGAAATCATGGCACACCAGCACACTGCCAACTCCTCATATTTCCATTCGGTTGCCTGTGTTCTGGACAAAGGGAATCCTGACAAACATTATATAGCCCAGCTGAGACAATCTAGTGTCCACTGGGGGCTGGGTGTCTCTGGTGTTTCAGTTTGGATGTGGTGTCATAGTAGACAATGAACTCTTGACACTTGGACAGGGAAAACTTACATTTATATATTTATATGCTTATAAGGTTTCAAAACACTTTATTTTATCAACCAGAAACCAAGGGCAGGAAACACCTGGTGAACAGTAAATATCTGGACTGCAAGAAATTAAATCTGGGCGCCTTTATCAGAGAAGTACCACCTAGTTCAGGTGAACAAAAGATTCATGGTTTTCTCTTTCTCAAAGAGTTCACTTCTGTTTGTGATCTTCTTTCAGCTGATAGGGGCTTTAGTTACAAGCCTCTTATCCTTCTATCTACTGCCTGCCTCCCAGCTGTTTAAAGTCCTTATTGGCCACTGCCATTATTTCACTTTCTATTTAGCCACTAGATCCCTGTGCCCTTACAGACAGCCCGACTTGAGGCTATTCGACTTTTCAGCTGGTGCTTCTTTCCTTCAAGTAAAGGCTTTTTCAACAAAAGAGGAATGATACTGTCATGTCATTAAGGAGCTCTTGAAAAATGCAACAGGCCCATCCCACGCCACAAAAGGGCTCTTGTGGGCTTGCTTATCTATAGACTGCTGAAAATCTAGGAAGTCACTTTGTTTGACTCGAGTAAAAAAGCTTAAAATGATCTCAAGCACAGATTTCCTTTCATAAAAAAAAAAAATATCAAAGGATGAAAGTATCATCTCCAAATCTCATGTTCTCCTTTCTCTTGTAAAAAGCATTAAGCAAATTGTATGTAATTCTTAACCTATGGCTTTTTTTTTTTTT